AGAATACAGAAAAACTAGCAGCTAAATTTATGGGAACTCAGGAAAAATAAGAATGAATTTTACCATAACGTTTAACCTTGACAAGTTGGGCAATTTTTCTGAGGGAAGAACTGGGTAGCCTCTGCAACAATGGCACCTCACCCAAAAACTCAATCACTGCAAAAAAAAAAAAAAAAAAAAAACATTATAATTTCTTACAGAATTCCTTGAAAGGAGCATCACAAGAGGAATAAACAATCAAATTCACAACTCAAATAGTTCGGAATTTCATTCGGATTCTGAAACTTCACCAATAGAAGTAAAAATTAACCTGATTCAGTATCCATGATTGCCGAGCAAAATGAGTCAAAAGATATTTCAAGTCTTACAAATGAAATAAATGTGACATACTAGTGCACAGAGGACGTTTGGGGTGTGCACATAAAAGAGAAGTAATCTTGTGCTAATCAATTTTTAATTCTTAAATAACTTATTTAATATTAATACTTTCTCTCTCCTACAATAGTTGTGGATTGTTAACTTGACATACCCCTTCAAAAATCATACTCATATATCTCTAATTACCAATTCACTTTTGAATTGATACACCTATTAAGAAAACAATTATTGATATAGTGAACTTATTATTTCGCCTCTATTAATTTTAAAATAGATGAATTAAAAATTTAATCTTTTTAAAAAGTAATTAATTAAGGGTATGATAGGAAAAAAATTGTCATTTCTTGATTTGTCAAAATAGACAAGTAATTAGAGACAATTATAAAAGGAAAAGTGGACAAGTATATAGGGACAAAGGGACTAAATAACATGGGTGATATTACTATTTATCCTTTGACTTTATTAAATTTAATTCTTTGAAAAATGTGTTATATAATAAATAGTAGTATTTAATAGCAAGGATAAAATACACACAAAAAGTAAATTATCTCTTGATTTTTTAAATTGGACAAGTATTGTTGAACAACTATTTTTAGTGTAATAGACAACTATGTTGAACGGAGGGAGTAATATTTGGATAAGTTATTTTTGTCTTTGATGTGGAATAATAGTTCCTAATAACTTGTTTTGGGATAAAATAATTACTCTCTCCCCCTATTTTTATTTGTCCACTATTATTTTAGAATGTCTAACAATACTTGTTCAATTTATAAAATCAATGGATAATTTACTATTTTATATCTATTTTATCCTTATTATTAAAAACTATTCATTTTTCAATTTTTAGATAAGTTGTATTTAACAAGGGTGATTTGGTAAAATTACCTCTATCATTTACTATTTCTTAATTCTTGTGTCAAGTAAAAGTAGACAACTATTGTTGGACCGGGATAAAATGATTACAAAAAAAAATACCCCCTCAATTTCCTTTTATACATTATTTTTTCACACATTTTACACTTATATGAGGTTATGTAGGTAAACAAACAATTTTTAGAGATTATGTAATTCATAATATTTTTAATACAATAAGTCAAACATTCATTTCCTTAAAATAATATCAAGATAATTAATTTCAACATAAATCATCTCTGCATAACTAATTTTATCGTAACTTGTTTTCAAATCAAACAACCCAACATTTTTTGGAGTGCATATCAAAATTATGATAATTTTAAAAATATTTCCTCCAACTTTTAAATTTCACATTTCAAAATAATAAGTTCTCCCTCACTTTTTCTTCTTTTTTCTTTCAATTCTCCCTCTTGCCTTTTTTTCCTTGTTCATCTTCTTTCTTTTTTGTTGTTGTCATTCATCATTTTTATCGCAATTCTTTTCTCCCTTAATATTCTTATTTTTCTAAAGTGTTTTGCTTTGATTATATGAATTTAAAAAAAAAGATTTTGATTTTTTTTTTAAGTCATTCAAAGAAATTTCTGAGAAGAAAAACAATTACAATAATTATTACGAACATCAATACATTGAAATAGTTACAACAACTTCAATAATCATTTGAGTTATTGCAGCCCTTCAATGCCATGGCCAAGGAGTAGGGGATGGTAGTGCCGGTGGGGGAGGAGACGGTGATCGCGGCGAAGGAGGAGGAGGTGGATCTTTATGTAAATAATTAAACTTATGAACTTTTTAAATTAGTTCAGTAACATTAATCTAAAATTATCACCATCTTCTCAATAAATAAGACTCTTGTCACTTTTTCTTAGTTTTAATTTGAATATTTTCTTGTCAACCTTAATTTTTTTTCTTTTGTTTATATCAACAGAATATACCAAGATATCGTGGAAAAAGGTAAGCACTCAATAATTTCAGGGGAAAACATGTCCAATTGCAAGATGATGGCTGATTTTTAATAGGTATAATTAAGCAAAATATTTGTTCAGTATTCTAATATTATTAGATGCATAAAATAATCCAAACAAAACTAAATGTAACATGAAGTTGAAGAATTATATGTGCCATCTAGAGAAAGATCAATAGAAGACATGTGCTGCATATACCAGCACCCTTTACCACAACTGAAAGTCCTCCCTCCGTCGGTCGATATCAAATAATCACAGTTTTAATATTAAGAAAGAAAAGGAAATAAAGACAGATAATGTAAAGTACATCGATTTGAAATCTCCTATCTCGCGAATTTTACAAAACTCTAGCAAAAACGGATGAATGTTGGGTGCATACAGCATGAAGATCGATCACCTGACCACCTGTCAACATAGCTGAAATAGCCATAGCCCAGTGATTCTTTGCAACACCGCCATCCAGGCATGCAGGAGAAGGTATGACTTAGTTTACCTTTACAGGAACTCTACATTGTTCACAGAAAAAACAATACAAATGAGTTTATCATTCAAGCTGGACCAGGGACACAACCAAGGGGTGGGATGGAAGGAGAGAAAAATTATTTTTTTGATTATTAATGTTAAAGGTAATTTATTGACAATGCAGCAGCAGGGAGATTCTGAAAAAGAGTTATAAAGGTCCTTAAAGTTGCAAGTGTAAAGAGCTCAAAAAGTCTATCATGGCTTCTATATCAATTGTGATATGTTGCATCCAAAAAAAATAGAAAAGAGATGCATCTGTAATAATTCTTCATTAAATGACTTGGAGTTGGTTAGGGATTCTTATAAAATTGTTCTTTTCCTAGTAATGCAAGAAAGTCATACACATTCCTTATCATGGTAGGGTAGTAGATTCATGATGGATCATTCATCATATATTTGGTGGCTATCCTTTCCATGGAGAGTATACAATTTATGTTTTTGTATTTAATAATACTCACAGGAAGATTTGCAAACTTTAGACAGTAGCATTTGGTAAAAAGTTCTTTGAAGAATTTCATTGGAAGAATAGTCTATGGAAGCTTGATGTGTTTGGTGGTAGTACTAGCTTTTCTACTGTTCCTGAAAGTTTTGTGAGTGGAAAGAGGTTAAGGATCAAAATAATGTCTGGACACTTCTTCAACTTCAAAATAAAATTTCACCCTTCAGGGTGGCCCAGTGGTTTGGGCTTGGGACTTCCATGTTGGAGGTCTCAAGTTCGAAACCCCTTGCCAGCGAGAGCAAGGGGTTTGCCTTTTGGGTCGAGCTCGTCGCACCGGGCTTGCCTAGTGTGGGTTACCTCTCCTATGTGGTTTGCGAGCTATTGCATAGGAGCGGGGGTTTTACCATGTGCGCACCCAAAGGGTAGCGGCTGCGGGTTTCCCTTGTCATAAAAAAATAAAAAAATTCAACCTTTTTTACAAAAATTGAAAAATTTGACACTCTTCTCCAAAAAAAAAAATAACTTTACTTTTTGCAGAAAGGCTTACACAAACAAACGCCAACCAAGATTATTTGATACTAAAGGTCAATTATGGCAGTGACTGAAGAGCGTTTGTTCAATAAACAAGCAACTTCAGACAAGAACCTCACCGCATCCAAAAAAGATGAACCTATCAAGGACAGTACATGTTCAAGTATGGGTTCTATGACCATAAAGGTGGAAGATCCTCCCTGACTGAAGAGTAGGTGAAAATGTTTTTAAATGGTGTAGAGTTCAATTTCTTTTTCAAAGAGGACATGCTAAACCAAACATAGCAAAATCCATCAAAATAAATAGGCCTACTATATGCACATCAGACCTAGATTTCATGTCTGATAAGCTTGCTGTGTAACATAAAACGAAAACCCAATAGAAGAGGTCTGTCAGATGGCATAGAACAAATCTTATGTAGACCACACAACTACTGAAAAACAGAAGAGAAACTATATAAACACAACTACAGCAAGGATTTGATAAGAAAACATCTTACCAAAAGATGTTAATCATTAGCATTAGATAGTGGTCAAGCATATGTCCAAAAATAACATCCAAAAAGAAAATGTCCTTAAATAACTTTATGTAAGAATTCATAAACGTCGTCTGTTCTCAATTTGATACCAAAGAAGCTCAACCTAAAACCTTCCAAAGAATCATGTACATGAGAGCTAGTTAAACCAATCATGTAGATTATACTTTTCTAGACCAATCTATAAGATTAGAAGGACGTTACAAATATAATATTTGCAACAAAAACTTAAGAAGCCTCTAATCAAATAACTTCTGATGCTTGAGCTAACTGCACACTATAATTATAATAGTAGTAACTAAATGAGGCTCCAAACCAATAATTTTTCCTCATGCTTGATCTAAAATTAGCCTAAAGAGGATTGTATTCCCTTTGAAGTTGTATACAAAAACAAAAAATGCTCGAGACATAAATTCTTCTCCATGAATTACTAGAATTTGAGCTAAAATAGGGATTATAGATTATACTCCTTCCAATACAATTATACATGGCATTACCTCCTAGGGCGTTGCCATTGTTCCATTATTATAATATCATATTATATGCAAAGCTCTGCAATTCCCAAGCATTCTAATCCATTAAGCTTTTTAACTTAGAAGTGAGATTTACCTCTATATCCCCTGAATTTTCAAATATTAACACGATAATATAATAGTAACTCAAATTAACATATCAAAACCTAGAAAAAAATTATTATAAACTCAGTACGAACCATTTCTACTATTGCTGCTGGTTCTGAGGATTGGGCGGTGGAGGCATACCAGGACGAGGAGGTCCATAAACAGGAACCTGACCACCGGGAGGTGGGGGTGGCATACCCGGGTGAGGCGGTTGACCAGGCATTCCTGGTCTAGGTGGAGGCGGACCCCTCATCATGGGAGGTGGAGGAACCATGGGCCGCTGACCAAACTGCGGTGGAAACTGTGGTGGACCACCACCAGGCCGGAAATGTGGTGGTGGTGCCATAGGCGGAGGGCCCCCAGGTCTTTGCATCTGCATACCTTGCGGTGGCATTGGTGGCCCACCACCCGGCGGTCTCATCATTGGCGGCGGCTGCTGTGGGTAATTAATCGGTGGAGCAGAAACTTGAGGCATCGGAGGCCGAGAAAGTTGAGGCTGCATCATACCCGGAGCAGGCCCACCAACCCCACGAACAGGTCCAGCAAGTCCCGGTTGAGCATGAACCAACGGCCCAGTAGGAACACCACGACCAGCGGCCCGACCAATTCCAGGGCCGGAAACTGCAGAACCGGCAGTAGTACCCTTGACTCGTGATTCATCAGGAGGAGGTGGTCCCTCAACAGTCATGGAAATAACCTCCTCGCCACGGATAAGAACAAGACCAAGTGTACGGCGATCTTCACGTTCTTCTTTCGACCCTTTTGTGGGAGGAAGTTTACGGAACTCTTCACAGTCTCCAAGCACGAGGTTCATATGTCGGTCGAAAGCCATGAATTTTCCGATCAATTGACGAGCATCTTGTATTGTAACACGCATACGGTAATTGATGTATTGAAGCATTTTGGAACTCTTTGACATCGACATTTTGGGTGAAATTTTGAAGCAAAACGAAAATGGAGTTTGGGGATTTTAGTAAATTTGAGAAGCGGAGAGACGCCGGCTAGAGGGGTGGCACAGAGAGTCCCCGCCGGCCGCCGGAGGAAGTGTGTAGCTTTGAAGGGGTTTTGAAGATTAGGGTTTTTCGGGGGTAGTCATGGATATACGTTGAAAATGGCGGGCCTTAAACTGGGGAAAAGGTCAAAGTTACCCTCAACTTTCTTTTATTAGTTGATTTTACTTCTACCGTTAAAAACAAATTATTTTTACCTCTGTCGTCAATGAACTTAACAAATATATCACTCCCCTCCTTGGAAGGAAAACCTCAAATCAATTAAAATTACCTAATTTTATTTAAATTACCTAATTTTAACCCGACCCAACCCACTCAATAATATAACTCATTTCTTTTACTCAAATCAACTTTGTTTTATTATTATATTTTTGGGCAATAACAAGCAAGGGAGAGTCATAATTTGAATAGTTTAAAATTGAATCGTAATCGATAGTTAAATCATAAAAATATTTTATTAAATTATATATATTGAGTTAATGAATTCATTATTGATAAATAAAATTAAATTTATAATTAACAATTTATCAGTACGAGAGCAGATTACTTTTTTTTCTTTTAGAGTAAACCATTAAAACATTTCAAGTCCCTCCGACTCACTTTATGTGACATCTGTTTGGATTGATTTGTAATTTATAACTTTAAAAAAATCATAAATTATGATGTCTAACTTATGGATTTCGATTTGTTTTTGCTATTTTGACTTAGAATGAGTGTTTGAAATTATTATATTACTAGTTAACTTGTTCGCGCTTCGCACGGTTATGAAAGACGATAAGATATCAATATATATTTATTGAGACATATAATTGATTTCATAGAGAAAAATATTTGGTTAGTAGTTAGATGACCTTCAACAAAGTCATACGCTACTCTTTTGAACCAAAAGAAAATATAAACTTACTATTTTTTTTCTTTATAAATACAAAAACAAAGAGAAGTCATAAAGAGAACTACAAAAAAATACGACATTAATCTTATAATCATAATCATGCATTGAAAAATAAAAAGAAATAATACGAAATCAATACATAATTTTTGGAGTTCTTGTCGATATCCATTCCCACAAGCCGATCACCATTCAATAGCATTCATTTTATTCTTCAAGTCAAACTAAAATATGAATAAAATAAGTGCCGAAAACATAACAATTTAAAAGACTAATATGATCATCTCTCCAAAATCTTACAATGCTTCTATAATATGAATAATAAATAATATCATGAATATGACTATTAATTTTAGAGTTTATGGTAATAAAAATTATGAGAGTAATGAAAATAACGATCATAAGTATTGCATTAAAAATATGAAAGAACGATTAATTGATATATTTATTATTCTACAATATTATAAAAATAAAATAAATAAATAGAATTCCGAGCCAAAGATTATCTAGTAAAGATGAAAAACTCAAGAGACTCAAGGCATGATTGTGTGGCTTTTAGTGTTATTTAAAACTTGTAGTGAAGCATTTGTAATTGAAAACTCATGGGGAAAAATATATATTTAGACATTTTTGAGGAAGTTAAAGGCAAAAAAAGGAGAGAAATAGATAATTATGTCCAACAAAGTCATAACTTACTATTTTGAACCAATTTTTTTTATATAAATTTACAACAATAAGTTTTTTTTTATATAAAATACAAAATAAAGAGATGAAACAACTAAAATAAATAAATAAACAATACAATATCATTCTTACGATTTAATCATTAAAACATTTAAAACAAATATAAATCAATGTACAATCTTCCGAGGTTTCGTCGATGTTCACTTCCACAACCCACAATCACCATTCAATAGTCGTGATCTTATTCTTTCAAGTCAACCAACGCATCAACATAATGAGCACTGAAAACATGACAACTTAAAATGTTAAATGTGCTCATTTCAAGAAAATTTTACAATATCTCTATTTATAGGACTACAACATAGAATACAAAATAATATCATGAATTTAATTGTTATATTTTAGAGGTTATAATAATAAAAAGTCATGAGAGTAATGAAAATTAAGACCATTAAGTTTTACATTAAAGAAAATTAAAAAATAATTTTGTAGCAATTTCACATTAAGCATTTGATATAAAATTTTCATTACTTAAATTTCCTGTCAAGTTCGTACAATAAAATTCAAGTAATAAAAGTACGACTTACATATAAATAAAATTCGTTCCGTTCATCAGATGTCATGAAAAAAATGAAAATTTTCCATTCAACAAAAAAACCTGCAATAAAATAATCAAATCTCATATAAGTAAAAAACTAAGATATAAAATAATATTTTATAAAGTTATAAAAAAAAATCAGATTCTTGACCAAAAAGATGAGATGACTTCACCAAGTTAATCCTTAGCTCTACTATACATATAAATTTGATCATTTCTTTTGTAACAAAATTTTCTATTGCCTCTATTTATAGGACCATAATATTGAATACCAAAAGATATCATAAACATGACTATTAATATGAATTAGAAGTTATGATAATCAAAAGTCACGGGAGTAATGGAAATAAAGACAATTAAGTTTTTATATTAAAGAATATGAATAAATGGAGTAGTAATTGTTCATTTTTTTACAATAATAAAAAAAAATAGCAAAAAATGTCAAAAAAATGAGAAAAAAGATAAATATGATCCTTGGCGAAAGAAAGGTGCCACATCACTTTTCTTTTATCTAGCTTTATATTATATATAGATCTTACCAAACTTTATAAAAGTACTTAAAGCATTTAAAATAAATCAATTCAAACAAATTTTTTTAATTTTTCTCTTGACAATAATGTTAAGTGAGACTCAACTAGGGTGGAATGAGGGTGGTATAATTAAATAGTTGTCAAATAGAGAAAGGTGACATTCTCTTTGGACAGGCTTAAAAGGAAAGAATGTCATTTAAATTGAGACAAAACGATATTATATCTATATTTTTTATCCTTAACCATTTGGACATGCAATATGAAATCACAATATGATTAGGTTTGTTTGAACATGCAAATTGAATTTCCTAAGTTATATTTTCTTTTATAAACATGAAAATGAACAAGTATCTTAGAGAAGATATTCTAGAGGCCTAATCCAAATAGAACTCAAGGCAGAGGAAGTCCTTCGTTCGGATAGGGTTCCTAACAAGTTGTGAGAAACTACATTAAAAAAATCAATTCTTATAGAATTTTATCAACAGAGCAAAATATAGTTCATAAATAAGATATCATAATATCCTCACATTGATAAATCACATATCTACATATTGCTTTTGTAAATAAATATTTGTCGTTACATAATTTTATAACGATTCACTAGCCAATAATACAATAGATGACTATTCTTGATATGACCTTTCCACGTGGCACAAACAATCCATTCATACTTAGTTATGCCCGTTTGGATTGACTTAAAAAAATAGCTTTTAAGTCGAATATAAAAAGTCAAATTGAAATGACTTTTAAGTCAAAAAATAAAAAGTAGGGAGAGACTTAGTTTTGGTTTTTGACTTATTTTAAGTCATTTTTGACTTATTTTAAGTCATTGTTTACCTTGTCAAACACTTCGTAACTTATTTTAAGTTATTCTTTACTTATTTTAAGTTATTTTTTATAATTGCCAAACACTTCCAAAAGTAAAAAATTGACTTAAAAATAGGTTTGACCAACTTTTAAGTCAATCCAAACACTCTTTGACCAATTTTTTTTTGAAATTCTGAAATCTAGAATAACAATTTTAATAGTAATAATTCCAAACACATGTCCCAACTCAAATTTAAAATCACCGGAAAATGCATAAATTACTTCTGAACTTGTCTCGAAATTACACGCTTAAACTAATATAGTGACCTATTACACACCTCTGCTACTAAATAGTGATTTTTTTTTACCCCAAGATGTGTAGCACCACTCTCACAATGGAAGATATATTACACTTGCGCCACATCAATGCATGCCACTGTCACATCAGATGTCATATCAAATTTTGACTAAAATTCTCTGTATCATTCAATTGTTTCTTCTTCAATGAACACCACCATGAAATCACTATCATTGCCGCCATATTACTACCAAATCTATATATTTCACCATGAAAATCAAAATAGTCACCATAAATTTCACCACCTACGATCAAATTCACCATCAATATTATATTATCACCATTATCTCCACAAAAATTAGAAAGATCCACAACAAAATTTGACACCCATAAACAAACTCATCGCCAAAATTACATCATCACCATCAAAAGGTTCAAATCCACCACCAAATATCACTACCACCATTGTTAATATCAATTTTTTCTTCTCCACCACCTTCAATTCCCGCTTCTTTGTCACCCCACGCCAACAAATCCATCATTATATTATATTTTTTAAACTTAATCATCAATTTTATCAATCACCAACAAAGCCGAAGAGAAAAATCAAATATAATGAAAATTGTGAAATCGAAGAAGCATTAAAATAGGATATGATGGGGGGGGGGGGGGGAAGGAGGATATTGGTGGAGGTATAGTGGGGTGTAGGGGTGTCAAATGGGCGGGTTGGATTGAAATTGGAGATAGTAAAATGGGTTGAGATAGAAATCGAGTTGGGTCTTGACCCACCCAAGTTTACTTTGGGCTCAAATGGGTTGGATTCAAATGGGCTAAAAAACGGGTTGGGTCTTGACCCGCCCAATTTGACCCGATTAATTTCAATAATTTTAACATAGTGATTTTTAACTTTTATAATCACAATTCGAATTTACTCTCAAGATTATTTTTTTTCAAAAAAAATGTAACAAATTGTCACGACCCGAGCCTACACCCTGGACGTGGCCGGCACTCGAAGACCATTACTGGTCCCCAAGCGAACCCTCATCCTGGCTGACTACAAGCGTAAAACCGATTCAAGCATACGAAGCTTAAAAACTGAAATAAAAGTTCATAAAACTTAAATACAAACTTTAAGTCCAAAGAAAACTCTGTA